TCCCTTCTTTACTCCTCCCTTTCCCACCTTATTTCCGTGCCTCTTCCATCTTCCCCCCCCCTCCTACTGGAGGGCTCAGCCAAACGACGAGAAAACGCTTCTGGAATTCCTCAGCGGGAGAAACGTTACGGAAGTTACCGTACTGTGAAAATCACCGGTAAGTGTGGTAGTTTTCGGTCCCGATGATATGTTTAAGGAACCGTGATGACCTCTTGAAGACGTAAAGGTGGCTACCATGGCAATAAAGCTCTATTATGCATGTCTGGCAGCTGCACAGGAGTCACAGGTAATCGGCTTAAGACAATAAGATCGTAGGATTAGTGACTTGATGGCGTCCCACACAGTAAAAATATGCTGGGAAGCAGCATTTGGACATTTTGAAAATATCAGGTAGCAGGTGACTCTTCAAAAAGACTTCTCTGCGGGACTACCCCATCCTTCGAAACTCTGGTGGCCTACGTTCTAAATATTAACCTTTCTGTGGGAGGAATACAGAGACGCGACCAAGTGGTCCCGTCCCTCCCCCTACCAACAACTATGGAAACTAGTAGAGAATTGCCGCGAGCAAACCCTGACAGTAGTAGAATCATTCGCCACAGTGGCCTCTCAAAGAAACTGTCGGGAAAGCTACAGGCCGTTGTTTCGAGTGTGTACGCAGTTACAGACCAAATCAGAGTTCGACGTGGTACCGTACCCAAAGATTCCCGGTTGCGCGCGGGCGATTGAAAAGTTCCACTCCATTTCGTTAATTATGTAGTTTCTATTTTACTCCGATTTCTAAGCACTACATGAATATTTCTCAGAAAATTACAGTCAAAGAAGCCTTACCTTAGCCTCGCGCATCTTCTCCAATGCTTGTTTGATCTTGGCAGCCTTCAGTTCCTCAGCGGTCGGTTCGGTCGATCGTGGTGAAATCTGAAGCGCAATGTCGATGAGAAGTATAGTGTGAGGATTCAGAAGCCAGACGACGACCAGCCACACCGATCAATAACCCAGTATGACAGCTTTTGAGTAACGGACGTACGGCTGATTCATACGTCCGTCGGCCGCCACCGACGACACGCTGCCGACCCATCAAAACCGCATCACGTCGGAGTTGTCGCTTCAAATGTGTCAAAAATGCTTCCGAATCAGCGGACAGGGGAGTGTCTGGGTGCCAGATATGCAAGAGGTGCTAACAATAAGCTATATGGACAAGGGGGTTTTTGGAAGCGAAACGGTAAAAAATTCCGCATACAGGGGAAACGCTGTCGCCAAGATTATATAGGTGCGGGTAATGGTGAATTTCCTTACATTCAAGAAGGGCTATACATCGGAGCAATCTATCAGCCCTATATCAGGGTTAGGCAGGACACTTTGCCTTACTATACGACCTTAAATAGAAGTAGAATATCAGTAGAATACTATCCCGGCACTGGTAACATTCGCAAGAAGTTCGTTCAAAGGACTCCCTGTACAAAGCTCTTTCGCCCTTCGAACCTGGGGAAAGCTCTCATCTCCATGACGGTACCCCTAATTTTGCATGAGGAGTCCGTTGAACCACCCCTGCCCCTCCCAGG